ACTTCTGTGACTGTAACTGTAGCCTTTCCAGCCTGTAGAAACCATCATGGGTGGAATGGCCTTCAAGAATCCAAGATTGCCATCACTAAATGCCTCATTGTGATGTCTCCAACCATTGCTGGTACGTCCCTGGCATAGCCTTTGAGAACATGGAACACGTATATGCCAAGATAGACTATTGAACTGGGGATTTATTGGGGGGGTTATTCTCTCCTACATATTGCCTAATAAATTGTATGTGTATACCTGAAGGATCTATAATTCAACAGAATAGAAAGCTCTCAGTGTGGAAACCTCTTCTCCCAGGGCAGATGGCAACCTATCAATGACTTAGCTAAGTAGGTTAAATGACTTCTAGCATGTGCCAGAACCATGATGTTGAACCAGCATTCTTAGGTCCATTATATCACAACTGCCTCTCAATGAATCTTAAATCCTAATAAATTTTTAGGGTAGATTTATCTAGGAGTAATTATTCAAGTAGGCACAACTTACCAAATCTGTTTTGTTGACGTAGGATCTTGGGCTATAGGTTTCCATTAAAGTATGAAATTGATTTGTTTGATTTTACAAGTGTCCTACTAAGATGGAATGTGTTATGTTCAAGGTTATCCTTTAAAAGTCAGCACTGCCATAGACAGGCTATTTTATTGCATGGTTTAGACCAAAGACTTCAAACACATGGCCCACACACTTTCAAGTACAGCCAGAACCAGATTAAAATATAATGAGGAAATATTTAACAAAATAAAAATACAATAAAATATTGATAACATTACATTTTAAAACTAAGTAAATATGTGGTCTGCAGGGACCCTTGTGTAAGGATTAGTTGTCAAATCCAAATCTATTTGAGTTTAACAACCAATTGTCTAGACAACCCTGCTGATTCCCTGGCTCAGGCCCTTCCTATTATGTTTCATCACAGAAAAGTGATTTTCTTCAGATCACACCAGATGGGGTAGCTAGATGGTACAGTGGATAGAGCACCGGCCCTGGAGTCAAGAGTTCAAATTCAACCTGAGACATTTACTAGCTGTGTGACTTTGGGCAAGTCACTTAACCCTAATTGCCTCAAAAAAAAAAAAATCACTCAGGTTGCAGAACTGGGATTTGAACACAGGTCCTCTAATACAAATTTTAGGTTCTTTCCACTCTGCTATAGTATCTCTTCTTATCTGCATTATCACTAAAGAGATAGCTTAAGTATCACTTGTCTCTTACTTCATGAATATATCTAGCATCAAATTTACCTTCTCTGTTCTTAGTCTAGTTCTTCAGGGAGCAATATTGTAGCCTTGGAAGCTGAACTAAGGAAGAATTTGGCTACCTGCCTCTCTGGCTTTGGGAGAACCAATTCTCTGATAAATTTTCAGGAGTTCCCATATGGGTTTCTGATAACTCTGGTTTTTGAATCTTTGATTCTAAGATGATAATGATGTTCAGTCATTTTTCATCATGTCCCACTCTTCATGACCCCTACATTTGGGGTTTTCTTGGCAGAGATTCTGGAATGGTTTGCCATTTCCTTCTCCAGCTCGTTTTACAAATGAGGAAACTGAGGCAAACAGGGTTGAGTGACTTGCCCAGGGTCACACAGCTAGTAAGTGTCTGAGGCTGTATTTGAACTCAGGAATATGAGTCTTCCTGACTCTGGGCCCAGCATTCTATCCACTACACCACCTAGCAACCCTTTGATCCTATAGTCCAGAAAAATCAAATTAAATAGGTTACACGTCTGGTCACAGCAGAAGAATGGCTTGGGTTTTATTCCCATTAATTTAATTACTTGGAGAAAATCCCTTTACCATCCTCTCTTCTATATTCTCATCAATAAAAACAGGAAATAAGTTTTTCCCCCCTTTATTTCATTATGCTAAATTGGAAAGGGACCTAGATTTAGAATCAGAGGGCCTTGGTTTGGATCCCAGTTCTACTATTTCCTTACATGCATTAACTTGGGCAAGCCACTTAAAGTTTCTAGGCTTCAATTTCCTTCTGTATAAAATGACAGGGTAGGACTAGATAATTTTGCTCCTATTTTTTTTAGTGCATTTGATCTCCTTGGAGAAATGTGCTTTGTTAAACAGTACCATCAGGGGGATATAACTATTTTTACTCCTTCATAGTAACTGATACCAAACTTTTCTCTTTACCTTGTCTACTTACAGTAAGCAGAAACACACCAAGAAAGAATGGATAAATAGGTTCAAAAATATTCTTAGAAAAATGGAAATACCTGTTCCCACTCATTTTCTCTTATTCTTAGGTTATATAGTTTTAAAAATATCAATCAAATCAGTTCAAAGGATTAGGTTAGGAGGGATCTTCAAAGTCAATTAATCCAATGCCCCTTATTTTCCTGAAGAGAAAATTGAGACCTACAAAGGTTACTCAGATCATACAGAGAGTTATCGATACAGCTGAAATTTTAAATCAAGACTTGATTGTAAAGCAAGTAACTTCCATTGCAACATGGTACCTCTAGAATGTAGTATCTATAGAACACATATCTGGTTCTGAGGCATGGTGAAAATCCTTCTCTCCTATTCCTGCAATGACCTCACAGATATACCAGCAATTCAGAGGCCTCTTTTTTTTTTGGCTTGTAAATGCAAAGTGGCACAATAGATAGAATTCTGTAAAGATTGTCAAGAACACCTGGGTTCAAATTCGGCCTTTGACACGCAATATCTGTGTGACCTTGGGCAAGTAACTTAACTTTTACATGCCTTGTGCATCTCTTAGAGACATCCTTTTCCTATTCTTTAGGATTAGTACTTAGTACCTTAGTTCCTCCTTAGTTGGAGGAATTAGCAAAGTGCCCCAGTCCTTGTCTATATCCTTGTTCTTTAATTGAATTCAAGTACAGGGATTGTTTTTGTTATTGTTGTCTAGGTTTTTAGAGGGTTTTTTTTTGTTTTGTTTTGTTTTGTTTTGTTTTTGGCGAGGCAATTGGGGTTAAGTGACTTACCCAGGGTCACACAGCTAGTATACATCAAGTGTCTGAGACCAGATTTGACCTCAGGTTTTCCTGATTCAGCACCTCACTGGTGCTTTATCCACTGCACCACCTAGCTGCCTCCCTGTCTAATTTGTTTAATGAAACTGATTGAACCTATAACCAGCTTGAGCCTGGAGTGAGTAAATACCATGGTTAGGTAGCCCAGTTCATTTAGCCCAGATCGTTAAGAAAGTCTGGTGAAGTATTTAACCAATCATTTCTTTTTTCTCAGAGATACTTGACTCCATAGCTCTCATTGATAAATGCAGACAAGATGTGCTGTTGTAGCAATGCAGTCATTCTTTATCACCAGTAGTAAAGTCAAACTGCATGGCTCAATGGCCAAGCCAAAACATGGCATTTCTTAGTTACAATGCAGTCCCCGAGTTTGATTTGCAATCCTTGATTTCAGCCCTCAGAAACTCGCTTTAATTGAATAAGCCTCATTTTCTAGAGGTGGTGTCTGATAACCCTGCAGAAAAATTATATGTGCTGTGTGTGTATATGTATACCCTGGCCAACACTTTCTCTATGGTTTATTTCAGAATATCAAATGTGCTCTCACCCCTGATGGAAACTCTTTATACACAAATAAATATTCACCTGCTCAGGGCTAAAGCAGCTATTTTATCAAGTCAGACTACAGGAAGTAGATATTTTTCTTTAATGCATCCTGAACTAACTTTACAGTAGTTATTTACTATGTATTAAGTGTCTTCTTTGGAAACATTCATAGCTGCATTGTGGAAATTCAACTCTGGTGCAAAGCTACAACAAGCACCTTTGTAAATATTTTCAGATTTGGCTGTAAATAAAAGCAAATGACCTTGTGGTTTAAGGATTAGGACAACAGTCTGTGTTTCAAAGATATCCATTCATTCAATCCCCAGCTGAGCAAGTGACTTCCTTTTAGGTTCTGGCAGCAAACCACTTGGGCTTTTTTGTATCTCCCTGGTTCATCTGTAAAACACCTGTCCTAGGCACCACAAGGTGTGGTAAAGGCTAATGAATTCATGCTGCTAAACTATTCTGAGTTCTTTAGATAGTAACACTAAAATCAGCTAAGTTCAATTTCCAAGAGGTATTTTAGCATCCAGATATGGAAGTTCCTTAGAAATGAGACCATTTTTTTTTATCACCTTCCCAATGATATTTGGGGAAAGCTATGACACAAAATTAATAATATCAAGGACCAACTTGATATTACCAAACAACCACGAAAGCCACATTTACTAGCTGTGTGACCCTGGGCAAGTCACTTAATTCTCTTTCCTCAGTTTCCTCAGCTATAAAATGATCTGGAAAAGGAAATGGCAAACCACTCCAGGATCTTTGTCAAGAAAACCCCAAACAGGGTCACAAATAGTCAGACACGATCGAAAATGACTGAACAACAACATGAAACTCATGGCCAAAATTAAATATATATATATATATATATATATATATATACATATATATATATATATCTATCTATATCTAGAGCTGGAGGTTCATCTGATACAACCTACTCATGCTACAGAAGAAGAAACTGAGGACCAGGGAGGTTGTGGCTTTCTTTAAGTCACAAGGGTAGTAAGAATGAGAGTTAGGATCTGAACCCAGATCTTCTGATTCCAGAGCCAATAACCCCTATCATTGTACTACACTGCCTCTACCCAAAAGCAAAAATTCTAGAACCTGAAATACTACTATGCTTCAGGCTTGCTCTACAGGCAGTAAAAAAGTAAGCCGAATTTGGGGTCAGAGGCTCAATTCCTGGTTCTATCAATCACTATGCAAACTTAAGTAAGTCACCCCACCTTTCTAGGCCTCAGTTTTCTCATTTACAAAACAAACGAGTTAGTGATTGAGGTTCCTTCCACCTCTAAATCCAATATCTTACTGTGGGATAGGTGTAGAAGCAAGGCTTGATTATGATCACTTCTTTAAAAAGACAAAGGAAGTTGGTAGAAGGCTGAAATATCTGGTAAATCAGAGGGAAATCAGATCTTACCTATGAGCAGGGTTGTGCACAGGGCCACTTGAATCATTTTATGTGCCATGATCCTGTATAGGGAGAGAAAAATATACATTTATATGTGTGTAGATGTATGTATATGTATGCATACATATATACAAACAGGCATACATCTACACACACACACACATATACATATACATACATATATACACATGCATTTCTCTGAATTGAGCACGACAAGTAGAGAGTATACCAGATAGTCTTCAGTCTTATTAATCATTCACTGCATAACTGCATACCTGTAAATGCTGTATGCCGAGAGGCTAAAGAGAGAGCCTCAGTTCAGGTGGCTGTGTTATAGACCTGTTTCTTTTATACCCTTTGGACTTTTAGATGGACTTGTGACAGCTGACTATTATTATAGGTAGCTCTTTCTTTTTTTCTTTCTTTTTGTTTCTCTCTCTCTCTCCTCTCTCTGTCTCTGTGTCTATCTGTCTGTCTGTCTGTTGGTCTGTCTGTCTGTCTGTCTGTCTCTCTCTCTCCCTCCCTTCCTTCCTTCTACTTTGTGTACACAAGAACTTATATGTAAAAATTTGTGACCTTCGGTCTTACTCCATATTTTCCCCTTTACCAGCCACAGGATAAGGAGTAAAAATGAGTGCATTCTTGTTTTTAAAATAATGTTGTATTTCAAAAGTAACATTAAGAAAAATTAAATGACTAAACCTTTTTTCCAGATCACATGATTGGAGACTTCCTCATGGAATGTCAGAGATTGAAAAGACCTTAGACGTTATCTGATCTAATTCCCTCATATTACAGGAGAGAAACTTAGGCCAAAAGAAGTGATTTCCCCAGAGTCACACAGCTGGCAGACAAAAAAGTCCATACTAGAATCCCTATCTTCTAACAGTCTGTCCTTATTTTGTTTCTTTTTCAAATTAGATTTTCTTTTATACCATCAGTCATTTTTCTAGTAACACATAACTGCCAACAAGTACTCATTTTGTGACTAGCACTATATGTGACACAGTGGGGAGATAACCAAGAAGCATAAAACAACTTGCTTATTGCCATTGAGCCAAAGGTGTAAAGAAACCACCTCCATAGAGCAAGAATAGTTGGGTCCTTAGCTGGGGAGTGGGTCCCAAAATGGGCTGGTGGGAGCCCTGGGAAAATAGTTGAACATTCAAATGGTACTACAATATCCTGATACCTGAAGCCATGTGTGAGTGCTGTATTCTATGGGTACCCTCCCTCTTAAATTGACAGGGAAGTTGGTAATTTGTAACTGTGCCAATGATGAAAGAAATATACTTTAAAGTGTATAGAAAAATAAGTTCAATACTATTGTCATGGACCCAGAAGGGATCTTTACAATCCTCTTCTCCTTATATTTTTCCTGACCTTAAATTAAATAACCAACCAGAAGATCTTGGAACCTAAGTTTAAAAAGATGCAGGGTACTTTGTTGTCATTGTTATGCTTCTTTCACACAATTATCCTTCAATCTGGATTTGTATCTCATGAAAGCAATGATATTATCATTAAAGACTATCCTTTTTCCACATGGCAGGGTCTAATGTAGCCACAGGAAGTATGGACATTGTGCTCAAGAACAATGAAACATATCTCAAACTAAATTAGGGAGAAGACCTAAAATAAATTGGTTGTGACCTGTCTTTTTCTAATTATTTTATTTTCACAGGAATTTTATTTTCACGAGAGTTTAAGATGAAGAATAGGCTGTGAGTGACTTCAATGTTTGGTATAGGTTCTACATATTATGGAAAGCAATGGATAGAAATTAGAAAGATTGAGGTGGTCTTGGTAAATTGAGAGAGAACCAATACATAATAGAATCTTTCTTTCTTTCTTTTGTTCTTTCTTTCTCTTCCTTTCTTCTCCCTTCCTTCCTTCTTTTTTCTTTGTTTTTTTCCTTCCTTCCTTTTTTCCCTTTCTTTTTCTCTTTTCTTTTCTTCCTTCCTCTCTTTCTCTTTCCCTTCCTCTCTCTCTCTCTCTTCCTCCCTCTCTCTCTCTCTCTTTCTTTCCTTCACCAAATCACATTAGTAGACTGAACACCAGCACAGAAACCAAAAGCATAGTCCAGAATAAAAGTGGGTTTCTGTTCACTATACTTTAAGGGAAGAGAGGCAGAACATCATAGTAGCTAAAGAGCTGGCCATGGAGCCTGGAATGGGTGGAGTAGCCTATACAAGGGCATAACTAGGAGACAGAATGTTGTTTAGGGGACCAGCAAATGGGCCAATTTGTCAAGCATAGAGTGCTTGAAGAAAGTAACATGGGATCAGTTTAGAGAGGTAGGCTGGAGCCACATGGTGAAGGGCTTTAAAAGCCAAAGTTAATTTTATTCTAAAGGCAAGAAAGAGCTGCTGGAGTGTTGAGTGGGCAGTAGTTACTTATATCCTCTCATTCAACATACCTTTTTGTGTATGAGGTGTTATACAGAAATTGTAAGTGATAGAGTTCTGGACTTCATAGTTTACGTGCTTCTCTGCTGTGCCAATCCTTCTTCCTCTTTGGGGTTATGCAGATGACGTGGGCCTTTTTCTATTCTAGTGAGGCCAAGGGCCACCTTCCTGCTTTCTATTGTCCAGCTTCCAAATCTCCTATCCTCTCTCCCTCATCAAAGCCTATCCTTCTTGCCTCAGATATCATAGTCTTTCTTTGAGTTTTTGTCCCTCTTTTTGAGTTTCTGTGTGGCACAGGCCTATACAGTACACGAGATCGCTTATAGAGGTAATTTGGATGCACATTCCTTTCCAGCTCAGCCAGTAGACAGTATAGACACAGTATCTCTTTTCCTTCAATTCCAAGGGTTAACTTCTTATGTCTCATAACAGTACCCACAAATGTAGGAAGAAGGGTTCCTCTACATAAGTATAAAATGGAAGGCCATCCAAAGTCTACTTTAACAAGAGAAGTCATTGTTCCAAACACCACATTCCACATGTAGTCGAATAAAATAACATGTCAATATGTCTTTGTTGTTCAGTCATGTCTGACTCTTCATGAGCCGCTTTGTAGTTTTCTTGGCAAAAATACTGGAGTGGTTTGCTGTTTCCTTCTCTAGCTCATTTTATCAGATGAGGACACTGAGGCAAACAGGGTTAAGTGACTTGTCACACAGAGTCACATAGCTAATAAGTGTCTGAGGATGGATTTGAACTTAGGTTTTCCTGAGCCCAGCTCTCTATCCACTGCACCACCTAGATTGTTCCTTTGTAAAACTGTTTGAGATCCTAAAATAGAAGATACTATAATGATAATAAAGTTTGACTACATAGGCTGTTAAAGAACTAGTGAAAAAGTTAACTTTAAAGTGAGTGCCCTCAGACAGTAGTGTTATAATTTAGATACCAAGAGGTTTGACAGGCTATCATTATCAAGTTCAACCACTTAGAGCTCCAGATTCATTCTACCATGCTTGGGGCTGAAGGAATATTATAATTTTACATAGTGTTGTTGAGTGGTATTTATGCAGGGGAAAATACAGTAACATCATTCTGAAGGATGAATTATGATTTCTTTAAGATTTCCCACTACATTTAGTTTAGTAATCCATATTGAAGTGTAAGATGGTGGATTCAGAATGGTTTGGGAAATGCAAAGTCTTCCTTTTGAAATTGGGTTACTATTTGATTTTTGCCTTTGAAACTAATCTTAGGGTCTTATTTTTGTCTTGTTTTTTTTTTCACATTCTGAATAATCATCTAAAATGTAAAATCCTACATAAGCTGCAATTCTTGAGGAGCTGTGTTCTCTATCCATCACCCTGCCTTTCCCATACCTTTTGTTTTTTCTTCAATGCCCCTGTCTCGTGTTTCCTTTTTCTTGAACCTCGAAAAAAGTGCCTTTCTCTCTAATACAATAGCATCACAGGTAGGATTGGAACCCATGTCCTTTGACTCTGGACCCCATGCTTTTTTTTTTAATTTATGAAATAAAACAAGAATTTCTATAACATAGTAGAACAATGAAAAGATGATTACACATGAAATTGCAAATCTATATTATATATAACTTGCTATTCCTTTTACATATAAGATAAATTTATCATGTGCATTTCTTTTGTTTTCTCCCTCCCCTCCCTTCCCCAGATGGCTATACTGATTAGTCATTGATTGAGATGTCATTGTTATTAACAGGATTAGGAACACTAACTGACAGCCCACCTCAGAGTTTAAGATGAAGTCCTTAGTGCCCTACTCCAGTGGTAGCTCTTTGCCAGGCTTCTTGACCTTATCTTCCCACTGGACTTCAATGACTTTGCATAGCTCTGCCTCACTCAAATCCAAATCATTCACAAATCAAGACATGATTCTCCTGATGTCATTGGTCCTCGTTGAGAAAGAAGGACAAACAACAATAACAATCTTCAACATGTAGGAATCATCCTCATTAAAGAGCACTGAGAGTTAGGCATTGGATTTTAGTCGATTTGGGAAGTTTGAGATTTTTCTTGAAGATAAAACTGATTCTATAGTACATGAGGGTAGAGGGGATTGTAAAGGAGACCCTCCAGATGCTAACTGCCACCATGAGATCACAGTGTATAAACTCAGGTCTCTTATAATAGGATAATAGACTTAAAGCTAGAAATGTCTTCAGAGGTCATCTAGTTACAGCTTCTCATTTTCATTTGAGGAAACTGAGGGCAAGAGAATGTAAGTGACTTATGCACATTTACAAAAGTAAGTAGCAGAGCTGGGAATGTATATAGAATTTAACATGGCAGGACCAACATTGCCCTTATTGTGTCCTTTTCTCTCTCTCTCTCTCTCTCTCTCTGTATATATATATATATATATATATATATATGTGTGTGTGTGTGTGTGTGTGTGTGTGTGTGTGTGTGTGTATGTGTATATATATATATATGTATATATGTATATATAAAATTTAACCTGGCAGGACCAACATTGCCCTGATTGTGTCTTTTTCTAAACTTCCTCCCACTGTCTTCTGCATATTTAATTTTTTTCATTGATGTTCTTTTTTTTCCTTTTGTAAACAATCATGATCAGTCTCTCTCTCTCCTCATTCATTTGACAAATATTTATTAAATGCCAACTTTGTTCAGAGAACTGTTAAATGCCAAAAGTGATACAAAGCTTAGATAACATATGGTCTCAAATCTGAAGGAACTTACAGTCTGGTGGGGAGGTAAAACACAAAACGAGTTAATTCATCCTCAGTCCTTTGAAATAATGATTGGTTGACAATTTATTCAAAGTTCTGAAGCCCTTCAGAGTTGTTTTCC